AAAAAAATTGATAAAAGCGAAAGTTTATATTTAGTGGGGTTGCTCGTTGATTCGTGATATTCCCAATTTGCGGGAATACTGACGACGAATGAAATTGTGAAGACGCGTATATTATGGCGAATCATCATCCCGCATACGATTTCGAGGATAAGAGCCAAAGAATACGCCACCGGGTTGGCACCACGTCGAGAATCGCAGATTCTACTGTAGCATGCACCAGGTACTAGTTTCACCCTTTCCTTCTCAGATAATAATTAGACACGTGTCAAAAAAACTTGTCTTTATTTAATATAAAATTTAAAAAAGCATTGATTTTTATATAATTAATCTCAACAAAGTGTGTGCGTGAATCTGATGAATAAGTGTGCATGTGTGTGTGTGCGTGCCTGTATGTCTGCATACATGTGGGTCTGGATATAATCTTTGATATTTTATATATCTGGTAATTTATTCTGATATATTCTGATACTTTCCCAATTTATAATTTTCAATAATCAGAGAAAAGATTATAATGTTCAATAATCAAATATTAATGATATTATCGACTTTAAAGATGATCCACATCAAACGAACATAATAGATTATAAAATGTTGAATTTCTAATAAAAAAAAATACAATAGTAAAATCGTCATTACTCCTCTCTCTGTACTAACACTTTACTGAGATTAATTGAAAAATTAATCAGATTTTGATAATACAACATTTCTATTTTTCCAAAAATATATTGAAAATATTATATATATTACTACTTTATATTTTATACTTTACTTCATTTTAATCACACGCATATATTTTCATACTTATTGTTAGCCTTATTTTATGTAAAAGGAAAAGAAAGTTTTTGTTGTACTATTATTGCCGCATAATAAACAAATACACTATGCTACAATTTCTAAATAAACAAAACAGAGAAAATATAAAAAATTATTTGGATATTATTAAAATTATTAAAAATATTACATATTAAACTATTAAACTCTCTATTAAATATAACTAAATTATTAAAAAAATTAATTAAGTATATATAATAATAAGTAAAAGATGTCATATAACATTAAAGTTATATTATGTGATAATAGTATCTCTAAACAAAATCCATACATCTCATAAAAAATGCGATTTTTCAGTTTTATAGTAACTATAATATATATAAAACTGATTTAATTAATGCATTTTTAATAAATTATTTTTATAAACATTTTCTAATACATTATAATACTAATATTTATTTAAATAAATAAATTCTATAAAGTTTTTATCAATTTTACGCAATTAAATGTTCGGATAATATACAAATAAGAGTATACGATATATCACACATATAACTCTTTTCTTATTAAAATAAAAATGTAAAATATACATATCTTTTATTTTAATAAAATGAATTGAACATTATTGTAATTTTGCAGTACTCAATATTTTGTGGGACCCAGTAATGATATTACTGAGGAAGATTTGGCAGAATTACCTTCATGTGTTTATGCAGGAAGATCCACGCAGCATGTCACGCACACGTCACCACATACACATTCTCCCTTGCATTACCATATGCCAGTTTCAACGCCAGGTATTGAACATTAAATAATTATAATAATTCAGCATTTGATTGTTTAAATACTATTGTATGAATTTTTTTAGATCATAATGACACGGAGATGAATGGTGTAGAAGAAGGTTATTATCCAAATGGTAGCCCTTACAGAATTCAACGACACGCCGCTAATATTCGTGAAAGAAAACGTATGCTCAGGTAAGAAATTTTCTAAAATAATAATAAAGTTAATCTTTTAACTAATCTTTATTAACTTTATTGGAATTAATAATAAAAAAAAGAAAGTAAAATTATCACACAAGCTACTTTTGCAAATCATTAGTTTAAAAAAAATCGTTTTTTTATATTTATTACACGTTATAATATTAATATTTTGCATTAATAATGAATTGACGATTTGATATTTTTTCTTTATATTTTTTTAACAAGATATTATGTGAGCGGATTGTCAGTGTGATTGCAATTTTTAGCAGCATCAACTCGGCTTTCGACGAGCTCCGGGTCCATGTGCCGACGTTTCCCTATGAAAAGAGACTGTCAAAGATCGATACCTTGCGCTTGGCTATTGCGTATATCGCGTTGTTGCGCGAGGTCTTAGCGGCCAGGCTCGATCCTTTGACGTATGTCGAGAGGTGCCTTAGGGGTGAGATAAATGGCGAACGCGCCGAATGGAACACAAGCGGTATATATATGCTCAGTTATAATTGCATTAAGTATTTGAAAAAGAACACTAAGGATTATACACGTACATTATATACAAATACATATAAAATCACACATAATATCTCATGTTACAAATACGTTTTTTTTCCAGAAACTATCGAAATATTATCAAGTGAATAATAATTACACATGTAAATGCCAGAAATTACTATGATTTTTTCAATTGAAGAAAAAATATTTCATTGTTGTTTTGTATTCATAAAGTTTAATGTTAAATTAACAATATTAATGCATCCTATTTCTTACATTAATATTGTATGTAAAATTAGTTTTGTTTAAAAATTAATCATTGTTACAACGCGAATAAATATTTATAAAAGGTTTTTAATTCGATATTAAATTAAACGAGAGAACTAAATGTGTGCTTTCATCTGTAAAATAGCTACATCATATGTCAAGATCAAAGTAATCCATGCTATGTAAGTTTCTGTACAGATTTATCGAAAAAGTTACAATATACATTTGTTTATAAAATCAATATTATAAATCTTGCAACATATTAATTTACAAATCATGTAACACATTTTGAGTTCTCATCGTATCAAATATTGCGATAATTGTTGCAGATCTGACAGCACGCTTGTCTTGGATAAATTGGGAGAATTTGGGAGTAAATCCAAATCGGCGATCGGTGCTTACAACCCTTGCGCTGACAACTGATAATATGAATTGAGCATCCAACAAAACTTTTTCGTAAATCATACAGTAATTCCTCTTTTCTTTGTAAATACCTTAAGATAGAGAGAGAGAGAAAGAAAGAGAAAAAGAGAAAGTTTAAAAACTTTTTCGCGATCTCGTTTAATTTCACGTGCAATACGAGCGATTAGTATTGTATTCAGTATCTACGTGTAAAAGAACTAGTTAGTGCAATTTATAGTATTTGCTTTGGAATAAAATCGATGCTATTCGAGACTCTTGGTTATCTTTATTCTTTATTATTATTATTATTTGTATGTATGTGCGAATGTCCTCATTACATACAATTATAGATTTTTATCCTACGCTCTGTCGTGAATTATAGATCGTTCAAACCGAACTTTATACTTACTATATCTTTCTATTACATTAAATACAAATTATTTTTATAAAAATGATTAAAAGTTAATTAAGAAATAATTAATTTTTAATCTGTTTTTAATTGTATAAAGAACATAGCTAAAAAAAATACGAAAAAACTATATACTTTGCTTTATTTAATAAATTTATATTTTTTTAAGTATGAATTAAAAGAAATTTAATATCAATAAAAATGCATATTTTTGTTTAGGAATCGGTCTTGTTTAAGAACTAGTACGTTTGCTTTAATTTTAAGATTTTTTAATTAAATAATTAAAACATTACACCTAATAAATCTGACCCTCTCTTTTCAAGAGAACCTTCAATTGTTAATTTCTCATCGAATCAATTTGTGTGTGTGTGCAATCGACGAGCGTGACGAGACATATGAAAGACGACACTACCGTGATAGCCGACCAAAGTGCTCCGTTTCTTCGCGAAACATTTATTCAATAGTATCCCTTTATTATTCCCGATTGATATTGGTCACCTCACTTAATCTGGATATTGTTTATAATTTTACTCAATCTTTTGAATGAGAGAAGATTTCGGAATATCTCAAGAACTAACCGATATCGATCGTCTTTCAAAGTACGAACTACGATTTCATGTTCTTGTAACGAAAGAAATATATTTGATAAAAGAGAGACTTTTTGATAAGGTAGATAAGATTTCGTCAAGAACTCTTCGAAACTGTAAAAAAGAGTGAATAAAATCATAAGGTATGTATTTTCTCAACTACACTGTAACACTGCATTATTTTGCAAATTTATTTCTATTTTCTTTCATTGTTCGCAAAGAATTATCTCATTCTAAATGCAGAAAGTATAATAAAATGCACAGTTAATAGCACGGATTTAATAAGTTTTATAATTTGTTGATTTAATTGTGAATTATCTATAGACAGACAGAAAACGAAGAAACTTATTCAATTAAAATCAGTTATAAGTTACATTGATATTAAATGTATGCCGGAAAAGCAAACTTTTTCTCTATCGTGAATAATCTATCGCGAAACACAGTATCGTAACAGATTTTATAATAATTTAGGTTAATGGAGGTATCGCCGAAGAACTTGCTCGAGCAATGCTCCTTTCAAGAGAAAAGAGAAATCTCTAAAGACATCGGTTTATCGCTCGGAAAAAATCAAAGTAAAGATGTCGAAAACACGAATTATGTTCCCTGTCACGATTTGATCTCGAGTTCAGCGTCGACTGGTCATATTCAAAAGGAAATATTTGACAGAAAGACGGAGGTGATTTTATTGGAGCAAGAATCAGGGAGAGATCATCGTGAAACAGCAAGTCGCCAGGTGATCGAGCTGAGCGACAGCGACTCCAAGATGATCCTACGACAACAATTTGGAGAAATGACAGAGAGTGGAAATTCAAATTTGCAAAGTGACGCGACGTATGAAAACATGGAAATTCTACGAAAACTACCGCCAGATACAGTCGTGATAAGACAAAAAGCAAGGACAAATAGGGAGGATAGCGATTATAGAGAGTTGATAGAGACGAATAGCAGTGGAAGCAGCTCGACATCCGGTTGCACAGCTGCTAAAGCAAAAAGATTCACCCGAGCCATCAGAAACAAAACGTGAGCAATATTAAAAGATCCTTGTAATAAATCGATGCAAAATATTTTTGTCATATTTAACAAAGAAATATGAAAATAAAATTCCATTTTTAGACCTATTATCAATCAAAATAATCACTAACTGGCTATAGTTAATTTTTCATTCAAAGAATTTTTCCGTTTTTTTTTTCAAAAAAACTGGATTTTTTTACCGATTGTATTTAAATTAGAATTTAATAGAAAAACGATTAGAACTGTGCATAAATTTAAAAGACGTCTGATAATGAGTGATTATGTGATATTGCTTTACATGCTTTACATTATAAAGCAATTATATATAAAAAAATAGTTTTATAATTTATATAAAACTATTTTATGTATTAAAAAACCTTCACAAACAAACAATCTAATATTAACCGGATTAGAATCATTTGCTTCTTTACATCCAAAATTCGATGCACTTTCTAGTCGTGAAACGGTAGAGGTTAGACGAAATCCCATGCGGGTATCTAAGAAGAACATTGATAAGGATTTCCCTCGATCTAAACAACGATTATTAGTCAATAGTAGGAGAGAAATTCGCACAAATTATGAAACCAGCAAACGTATTAAATCAGGCACGATGCCTTACATGAAAACTAGATCGGTCACTCGGAAAATGTATACTGTAGGTGCAACTTATCAGGCACCTACCAAAAAAGATGAAACTGAATGGAAGGAATGGCCTGTGCATGGAATGCACGAAAGACCGATTTACCATCCCCAAGTAAGAAAAATTATCTTTCCTAGCGATGTAACATTGTTATTCTTTGTATCAAATTATACTCTTAAAAGATTTTTTATCTCTTAATATGAAAGATATATAATTTATGAAAAGTTATGAAGCTACAAAAATAAATAGTAATCTCTGTCAATACTTTTTGCTAAAAAAAAAGAAAAAATTTCAATACTATAAATTCATTAAAGAAAATCTGAATGAGCCTCATTATTTCGGACGTCTTTTATATATGATTTTACGGTCTTTAATCTCTTTTATATAATCTGTTCATTTTCCAGGCTGGTCTAGCAGTGGAGTACCTAGGAAGATGTTTTACCAGCCTCGATGGATTATCCTACTGTGAGATTATCGACGAGCCGGAAATCGAAGTGGTCGCCGTTGATCCGCATCGCGATCGACGAGACCCTTCTGTCGAGAAGAAGCCAAAAGGAAGAACGAAAGGGAAAAGATGTTCGTCGAATGCCAAAGATATATGTAATACTTACTTTTCCGCGGAGGATAAGATTTCTGTCGAGAAGAAGCCAAAAGGAAGAACGAAAGGGAAAAGTAGATGTTCGTCGAATGCCAAAGATATATGTAATACTTACTTTTCCGCGGAGGATAAGACCTTCGAGACATGCATGCACGGAAGTCTTCACTGCGTGCTCGGTTATTGCTCGCAAGTTATGACACCAGCATACAAGCAAGCTGTGGAAGAGACGATGAAATTGACAGTTTCCGCACCTAAGACGAGCTCTTCGGAAACATCAGCAAAGGAAACGGCAAATGTCATGTATAACGCCACGAGTTCCTCAGAGAATGTCGCTAAATTCGCCGAAAAAGCAAAGTTAATTGAAGCCATTGCTATAGCGCAGAACGTACAGAAGAAAAATGTCATGAATAACACAAACGGTCGAAGAACCATTGCGACTTATCCGTCATCTTCAGCAACGTATATACCAGAGACACAGAGATCGATTGTAGAGAGCGATGGCTCGAAAATTATTTCGCAGAGCGGAGAGATGATCAGAATGAATTTAAAACGGATTTTGCGAGACGCTTCAAACAGCTCTTTGATCTTGCTAAGGAATTCGGCTACGAAAACGAGCGGCGAAGACTGCACAGCAACTGCAAAGGATGTCTTAAATCCAACCAAGTTGGAAGACGTGTCTATCGACGACAAGGCACTGAAAAACATGTCATCGATCTATAAAAAGCTGGTTTTGGCGGGCGAGCCGGCTTTAGGCCGCGAAGAGTCATCAATGAAAAATAATTTGTACACCTTGAAGAGATATTCTACAAACACACGAGAGAATATAGTAAAGAAAACTTTTCTGGAGAATCAGTTGGAGAACGAGAAAACTGTCCATGCTACGAAAGAAAGTCACAAAAATAGATCCGCTGATAAAATAAAGATTAACAGAGAGTCAAATGATGAAATGCTGATGATGAGTTCCGGCAAGAATAGTATGCAATGCGCCAGTGAGACCTCAGAGATCGCCAGAATCCTATCAGAATACAACAATAGCACATTGAGAAAATCTGTGATGCATAATCGAATTTATGATTCAAGAAGTATGAAAGCAAATATGTCGAATACAAGCGCCAAAGCTTTGCCGAAGGATTTCTGGCAAAAAAATATAACAGCAGAAGAAAATCAAAACTTCACAATTCCGGATATAAATGCGGATCTTGATCTCTTGCAGGAAAAATGGAAGAGATATAATCTGACGCTAGGAGAAAAGAGCAAAAATAATGAGATTGCCAACAGCGTTCAAAATGCTCGAAACAGTTGTTCGATATCATCAGAGAATAACCAAGTCCCTTTTATAGATCGACAGACGAGTCTAAACGCATTAAAACACGTGAGAGAAAAATCTGCTAAAACATTTAAAGAGCACGAAATTGTTATGACTAAAGCAACACCGCAGGAAGGTAAATCGGAGCATTCAAAAGACGAAATTGAAGTCTCGACGACAGAACCGCTGCAGGAATTACTGGAGAACACTGCGATCTTATATTGTGCCGCCAATGGGGTTCACCAAGACGACCTATCGAACTATATTGACACTCTTGACAGCAAGCAGAGCATTCAATGGCTAGAGAGCTGGAATAAGTCGGTCGTGTAAAAAATTGAAGATAAAATAATATTTTACTATATACGATATTATATCGTTAAATTTAAAGTTATATTTACTTATTATAAAGAAATTTTTATCTACAAGATAATTTCGTAGATCAATTTACTTATAATAAGTTGTGGTACATTCTTTTTCATTTATTTTATTCCATCTCTATAAAAGCAACATACATAAAGATATTGATATGAATAATATGTATATTAAAAATTACGAATATACTTATATTTTAATAACAAATATATCATTATTTTTTTTTATAAAACATTGATGTTAAACTCCTGAAATTTTTCCATCAATATTTTCGTCAATTCTTTACTTTTATCTTCGATGTATGTGTATTATTATTAGGAGTGTCTACATAAAGTTATATATGATTAAATTCTCAGGACATATGTTCTATATACATACATTCTGTCTAGATATCCATACATCAAGATTTGAATTGTGTTTGAAATAATAAGACTTATTGCACTATACTGTAAAATTCGCAATTAATAATAATTGCAAATGTTTTCTTTTTTGTCAAGATAATATAAGTTTATAATTAAGAGAAGAATTTAAAAACAATCTATATGTTTGTATTCAAAATATTAATCAATAAATACAAGTAGACATTTATGTTCTATTATTTTGAAAGTACTAAGCATATCTCTATAAATCTCTTTATTTTTATAAATATTATTTATACGTTAATCTCTCAGTGGATAAAATTGTCTCGTTTTCGTGATTAGTATTATGCCGTCATTAATTCCAGCATGTATAAAGAGGATGCAAATAATAAAAATTGCAGAATAAATAAACAATAATGCTATAATACCCAAATTCCGCTGTCAATCTCTATCCTGCCTCCGCTTTCGATGTTTGTATTTACGAGCACTGTAAATTATTAAAGACATGAATAATAGATATACAGATAATAAAAATAATGTTATACTTTATAACAAAGAGAATACAAGATTCAAAATGTTTTTAAAATATATATTATTTATAATTTAGAATCTTTTCTTTATTAGAAAAAAAATTGCGATGATTATTGATGTCTCAGTGAAAAAATAGTCTCTATATTAATATCTATTTTAACTATTCTATATTAATATTTAAAAAATTCACCTGTTTCTGTCAAATTCCGATTCGCTGCCTTTGCTGATAGTCTTACTTTCGGTCAACTCTTCGCTGGAGGACTCATTTTCACTGTCAAACTTCCGATTAGATCCTTTACCGGAACCGTCGTCATTTTTAATTTTTGTCGATTTCCTCTCACTTCTCTCGGAAGATTTTCTGTCTTCTCTTCTCTTACGTCTCTCCTCGTCAGAAGTGTCACGTCTTGTTTCCTCTTTACGCGACGATTTTCTCTTCCCCTCGCGTTTTTGCGATTTGCTCTGTTTGCTAGAATTACGGGAACTTGATGTCGAGTATCCGGTATCTTGACGACTTTTCCTACGATAATTCATATAATAAATATATAATATTTGTACAGACAAAATATGCAATTTTTTCTTTTCTAAATTTTCTTTCCTTTTAATTTGCTATTTTTTTTTCTTATACATAATTTATATAACACTTTGTTTTCAAAAGATATATTAAATCTTATAAAATAAATTTCTTTCATTATTCATTATTATTTTATTTTTTATTTCTTTTTTTTAATTCAATAATTTAATTAATTTTTTTTCTACATGTAAAATAGTTGAAATATGCCAACCGTTTGGAACAGACAACATTTCTCGGAGATGAATCAAACTTATCGATATCCTCCATCGAGTCCTCGGTTTCACTGTAATTTGCTTCTATGTCTTTATCACGTCGTCTTTTATGCCTATTATCATCTCGCGATTTCTTCATTCTTACGTCTTTGTACATATCGCCTCGAGAAATAATACTAATATTCGACACCTCCATTTTGTTATATTTCTTAGTCCGTTTGCTTTTGCTTTCGCTTTGCACCACGTAAAGCCGATACAATTGCAGCAATATTACAAGCGTATTTTTGCATGTAAAAAATATGTTCATGTAACTGACTATCTGATAATGAATTATCAATATCAAGCGAAACGCAAGAAACGGTCCGTCCTGCAAGATATAGAATATATATTTTTATTAAATAAAATTAATCTTAAAACTCTCTTATGAGAGATCTTTTTTATCAGATTTGCATTAAAATTATGTTCATTAAAAAAACGAAATAGACAATTTTAAAGGTAATAAAACATTTTCTTCTCGTTATCAATAAACGTCAGCTATATACAAAATGTTCAAATAGATTGATTTACGATTATGTACTTAAAAATTGAATCAAGATGGCCATTGTGCAATGTTTTTCGCATTTCGCTGTCCAATATTTTTCAAACATTTTTTTAGATTTTTATATTATTCAGTGACATACCTGAAGAATCATGTTCAGAGCAATTCCCCATACATCGATACTGCAGCAACTAGTTTCCGTCCGGATTTTCTTCTTAGAGACGCTACTGGAGAGTCGAGATTTCCTTGATTTAGTGGCGGTTAGCACGACCGTAAATTGCATCAGGGACCATGCCCAAATGCTTAGAGTCAGGTATACAAGCACAGGCTCTCTCGCTATCCTATCTTCCTTGAATGAGTCGAAAAACTCGATAATGTCAGCCGCGGTCCCGATGTAGACCAACAGAAGCTGGCTCAATTGATCACGAGTTAAGTCACCTTTCGGTAACATCCACCGGCCGATTATTAGAACTAACATTAAAAACTGTTCGATTAAAGTGACCCACGTTTCCGTAGAAATCTGAATGTCCGGTAATTGAATATCAACCTGAAAAATCAAAAAGAAATTTTGTTTTAATAAATTTTAAACTGTCTTTGCTAATTAATTATTATTATTATTAAGCTATAGTGTTTCATTTAAATTGAGATATCCAAATATCTAAAAAAAACTCCGCAAAATTAACAAAGAATTTTACTGTTAGACAAAAGTTGTTTCGTTTCGAGAGAAACGTTTGTGATTACTTCTCATAATAAAAGAGCGATGAAAACCACACGTACGCCGAGAGCGTCTTCTAGATGCTTCAAATCACCGGCTGCTAGATTGGATAAATCGAAATTCTCGGATATGTTGATATCCGATTCGCGGGATTTTAATCTCCTATCTACCTTGTCCAATTCCAATAGCCAAATTGCAGGTACCACACTACTGAGATATAAAAATACAGATGGGCAAAACCTGTGGAAATATAATAATAAAAAATAAATAACAAATTATGCATATATATATATAATTATTATTTATTTTATAAATATTCTATAAATAATCTTATCTATTTATATAAAAATAATATTCGCATTCCATTATCATATATTCTAATACTATTTTTTATATCGGAATTTTCAAGGAGACGCAGATATGCCCCGCGGTGCCGAATTCTGCATCTAATGTCTAGCTACAAATTTATCGATGAGTCAGGTAAATGCAATCAGGTCACAGTTTGCTTTCGAAGATGTCAATAATTTTTTATCCGACTCGCATACAACACACACACACATACACATCCTGAATAAAGCGGATTCTAACTCGTCAGCGCTCATGTTACTAATGTTCCAATTTCCGTCTGTCAAACCAAAACGTTCTTACAATATACACGCCCTTTCCGAAAGCATCCCTTTACACTTTACACTAATCTCGCAATGACAATCCAGTATCTAATGCAATGTTTTATCACTATTTATAATATTTCCTATATATAATAATCGTTTAAATAATCTAATCGATGATTAGATGACGATAAATTTAGAAAGAATACTTTAAATATTATATACGTCGGTTATTTATTTCAATTATTACGTACAAAATATTATTTATAACAATTACTACAATTTGTGAAAGGAGGAGTTTTGTGTGTGCGTACGTGTATAAATATGAAAATATAGAAAATTATAGAGCTTTATGATTATTAAATATGAACAAAATATGTAAAAAATAAATAATGGAAAATGAATATATGGTTTATATTATGTAACTCAAATAAACAACATTATAAAGTTAAATCATTTTAAATTACATTTAATGCAAAAGGTTTAAAATGTATTCTTTTTTTTTTTCATTATTTGTTTTTATATAAATAATTAAAAAATTGAAATATCTTTATTTTTTTATTCCTTTTGTTTTGTAAAGTCAAATAAATTTCATCTTTTCCGCGCGTACAATTAATATCTCTGAAAAGTATATCTGCATCGATAATTGACGTACCATTTCCATTCTTGATTTTCCTTTATAGTAAGCGTGAAAATGCCCTCGAAGAACAGCAACAAGATGGGACAACTCAGGTACCAGAAAAATGGATTCTTCTTGAAAGTTGTTACTTGCCAAATAGCGATAAAGCCATGCGATGCAAACACCAAGCGCGTAAATATTGCCTTAATTGTCGCCAAGAACTTTGTCATAATTGTTACTTATAGTAACAATTATATTGTTACTATCCTTCGTATTCGCGCGCGTACTTCGATACAAATAAATAATAAAAGGAACTGATCTTCTCACATACACATATCACTCGCGTTTAAATTGCATGTATATTTGATACATATTCTCGCGTTTAAATTTATTTTATATATTTTTAAATATTTAAAAAGAAATTTAGAAAAGGTAAAAATATTATTGAATTAAAGTAAATTAAATATAATGATCAGGAACTATGAAATACAAGAAAATAATCAGAGAAGGAACAAGATCGAAAGACGGCTTGCTAAAGAACAGAACGAACTACCTGATAAACGCGATGCGCACATGCGCCCTTTGACTTTGAATAGAAGTGAATCGTGGTCTTCCATGAATCCTCTCTTCCTTCAGGATTTAAGTTCGTGTTCATTCAAAAGGAAATTCTGTGTGAAAATTTTTAATTTCTAAATAATTCATATTTCATTAACATAACTGACTGCATTAAATGATACTAATTGTTCTATAGGCACAGCATTTAAGTGTTAATAGGTAGCAATTATCACATTAACTAAAACTAAAGTTTAATTGTTTGTAATTAACTGTAAAAATACAATTGTAATTCTCAAAAATAATTAAAATTATATATCAAACATAATATCTTTCTTTATGTGTTACATTACATAAAATGATTTTAATGAATTTATTTTATAAATTGATGTTATGATAAAATTATATCTTATAATAAAGAATTACATGTTTTCCTCAGTATTTCCATGATTACCTCACATTTAAAAATGCATCATTATTCTCTAAATGATAGAGTAAGACACTATAGGCTGGTAGTTATATCGCATATTCTTGAAGAAAAAATATTTGGATCTAGATAGGGAATCTATGCTAAGTGGATGTAAATCTCTACTAGCAAAATTTAAATCTAATTCTTTCTCAAATCCTCACTAAACTGATTCCAGTCTTCATGGAATTTCAATCTCCGCTAATCGCGCGCGCGGATTCGAGTTCCTACTATATTATTTTTATTATACTTTTATATCGAGACATTTCAGAAATATAACATGGAATGGAACATGTGTGTGTGTGTGTGTGTATATATATACACACACACACACATACAGAAAAAAAATAGAGAGTATCAGCAGTCTTTAGTGCGTTTTCAGTAATCCATTATCCATTCATAAAAGTAACACTGTAAATCGTTGAATTATAGCTTTTCCTTTTAACATATATATATATGTATGTGTGTATGTGTCTCTGTGTGTGTGTGTGTATTTACATATACATATATATGGATACAATCCGATTGTTTAAAAAATGCATCATCAGAGTTTTATGTTTTGATAAAAAGTATATTTAATAATAAAGGCGAAAGTGAATTCTCGTTGGCGAATAAACTTTAGTAAACAGGATACGTCATCATATCGCATTACAATTCTTCTTGTAACATCATCTAGTAACAGAAAAATAAAGAAGAAAGAATGAGAGAAAGAAAGAAAATAAGAGGAAGTAACAAAGCCTCTTCTTTGCTTTCCCAGATATATGTAAAACAGATTGAGAGCCTAACGAAAATTACTTCGGCCTCAAATTATAGGTAGATGTGGACAATGTTGAAAGAGTTGTATTCGGTGTACACGTGGAAGTGGAGCTCTCGCCCATGAGAGAATTCGCGGAAGCGTTCGTTTCGCTTTTGTAACGAATATTAGTATATTCTCTGCCTAACTGAAGTGATTTCTGTAAAGAAATAATCGATTAATAAGGATAAATCAATTATTTATAATATCAGCGCACGATATTAAAATTAATACCTGTTCTGCTTGCATTCGCTGAATTACAGTCTCGATATAATGCAGAACAGCGAGATAAACAAATTTATATTGTGCTTCTGTCTGAACCATTCCTGATCTTTGCGAGCGTACTCGTTGTATCGTATGTTGAATGTCAATGTCACAATGAAGCCCTAAACAAAATACCAAGCGCGCGCGCGCGTACAATATGCTATTAATATACTTCATAGTAAATGAAAGAAAGTAGATGAAAACATCATTTTATAATAAATCATAAAAGATGTTATAAGCTTCCATAAAACGTGTAATTATTTGCAATATATATATATTCTATAATTTAATTATAAATAATTATTAATCGTTTATTAGTCATTATTTTACTTTACCGTGACGTTTAATTTGATCTAAAATCATGTCGATAACAATAAATGTGCCAGTCCTGCCAATTCCAGCACTACAATGAACAAGAATGGGTCCTATGCATGGCACATTCTGATTATTGGAAGCCAAAGATGCAGCAATCGATTCTTGTCTGGCATTTACATCGTGCAGAAAATTCAGCACACAGCCAGGATCTGATGGAACACCATGATCAGGCCATGCCTATTAATTAATTATGTAATTTAATTCTAATATTACAATATTCATGTACATATACACACAAAATTCATGTACTTAATATATTTAAAAAAACCAGTGTCTATTAATCAAATTTATCATATATACTTTTTATATTTACTATATTAACCGAATGACTTGGTTTCATTTTCTCCACGCAATTATATCCAAAACCAATAATTGTTAAAAAATGTCTTAAATTAAAGTTATTATGATTGAAGGCAGATATTTTATGAAAAAATTATATTAAGAATCTTGCGTGTATAAAAATATATAGAATATCCCAGACTTTCCGTGACATTTCAGTTATCGGTCAATGGCAGATTCCTGAGATTATTTGCAAATAAAGATAAAAAATTAATATAAAAAAGTATTGAGATTATAATAATTTTTAAATAAGTATTTATAATTCAAATTGTCCAAAATATGTGCAAACTTTGGACAATTCAATTAATCAAATTTTAAACACTTTTTATTTAAAAACTATTATAATCTTGATATTTTGGTATTAAAACTTTCTCTTTCAATTTGAGGAATCTGCTATATCACAGGAGGTCTGGAACACACACACACACACACATATCTCATATATTGTACATATTTATATACAAACAAAAATATACATAATTTCATTCGTAATTAGATACATTACTTGAAAATGATAATGATAAATTCTCCTAGATTCAGAAAAGTTCGGTTTGGTTCCTTGTAGGAGAAACTCACGCAGAGTATAATCAGCAGTCGAGGTTTGCGATATAGCGCACACTTTCCACTCATTACCGTATTCAGCAACTTCTCCTTCTTCCGGCCAGTAACGCGCGCATTTATTCTAGAAAAAAAAAGGATAAAATATTTAACTTAGTTTTTTGTTTGTGACAACACAAAGTTTACATACCTTTGCCCTCTCCACTTCCTTTGTGGTCATAACAATCACACGAGTATTCTCTTGATAAACCATGTGCCAAAAATCCTGTATGGTGTTTAGAAGACAACCTTGTGTAGCTATGTAACATTTGCCAAATGACATAATATCGCCGCCACTATTAATGGGGTCACCTTCCTCGTTCTGTAAAATAATTTTATCGTGTAATCAATAAACTTATAAAAATATATGTTCTTTCTTTGTCCAATTCAAAATAAATTTTTTTCAATAAAAATATCAAGATATTTACAGTTCTAAATAATTAAAAACAATGAAAAATTTATATAATAAATTAAAATTCAGATAAAAAGGTAACAGTCATATATATTCAACTAATCTCGAGTAAACTTTCATAAAGTTCACTTTCTTAAACTTAAATTTAAAGCTAAACTATGAAGATCAAGCTGAATGTTACAAATTGTAAAAGCACAATAAATGATTAATATCCATTCAATATTTTTGCAGAGGAAAAACTATCTGAAAAGATATTTATGAAACATCCTGCAGACAAAAAAAACAGAAATATTACCTTTATATAGTTAGCATTAATATAATCAGCTCCAGGGATGTTTGGATCTACGTCTTTTAATCGTACCCTAGTATGATCAAAGGGTAAAATGTTCTTGTAACGATTCTTTGCGCGATTCTCTGGGCGTAAACCTTCCTTTCTCGAAAATAAATGTCGACACTCCTGCTGTTGCAGCGATTCGAATTCTTCCCAGAAGCCAGCTTTTCCTTTGCCACGACCTACTTCACCCTCATTATTTCCAGCTCCATTCCAACACAGCCGGCCGTTAGAACAGCCATTTTCTTTGTGTAATTGTTTGACTCTACTCTCGATATCACTAGCATTAATACGTGTTGTATTAAATGGGTGCCTACAAACAATAACATTTGTTGGTGAATATTTATCTTCAAATCTGAAAAATAATAAACGTAAAGTGAAAAAGTATGACAAATTTGAAGAAAATATTTTAATACAAAGTTTAAAATATATTATTTTATTATAAATATTATGTATATTATTTATTATCATTTATTAAATAAGTTTCTCTTACCGAAGATGTACAACACTCCCGCTTGTTTCAACCATTGGATTTCGTTTATAGTGTTCTATTAAATCACTGAGACTGTCAAATTTGTGGCCACCACCTACATCATATTTGTTATCCTGCAATATTAATTAATTTTATATATTTACATTGATTTCTCAACATACATGCATGCATATATATTTAGAAGTTTAGTATCATAGAATAGTATATAAAATATTGTAAAATGTATATGTATGTATACATGTGCACAATTAAATGTCCATTTTGTGAACTCCCGCATTGCAAACCAATTAAATACCCATAAAATAAACTTCTTTCCTACACTGTTCTCTTACTATTCACATTTGTCACATGACCATGTGATTACATTAGAGTGAGAACATGAAAAATCATGAAGGAAGGAAAATAACTGAAGAGATAGAGTATAAGATCTTCATTTGAGCAACAGAAATGTAGATCGAAATAATAAATATAATTGATTACATCATGCTTGCAATATTGTACTATTCTTTTGAATAAAGCACAATGTATAATTTCAGCCTAGGATCATATAACAAAATATTTGGAATATATTTTATATATATATAAAATATGTATGGATCAATATATCATTCTGCTTTTAGATGTATAAATAATTGTCAGAAAAAGATCATAACAGAAAATTTCGTTTTTTCAATATACCTACGAGTTATGCTCCTTCCAGCTATTTCTTTTTTTCTCTTTATATGAAAACCAAAACGTACATTTTCATTCTGTGCATATGTCATCAGAATAAGAATGGGGACTAAGAGAAAAATTCACAACAGAGACATTGCTTAGTTCCGACGAGTTCACAATGCATACATTCAATTGTAATCTTAAATATGTTGATGAATGTTACATATGAGATCATTAACCTGAGATCGTATCATAACATGAGTGACGCGATCGTCGGTGCGTACGGACAATACAAAATCGCCGGGTTTACTTTGAGACTCGCGCACCAAAAAAGATCCATTTTTCCCGCCTTCCAGCATTAACCGTTCCGCCTCTTTCGCTGACAAATGACCATGAAACCACCTTGAGCCACATTTTACTATTAGCATATGCTGTACTAAACCGGTACATTCAAAATATTAACAAGGAACGAGTATACCAAGCATGTTGAAAGGATAGATATTAAGCAAATATGTGCACATGTCTATACAGAAATGCATGTACCTTTCAGTTGTAGGATCGGCACAATTGAGAGGATATTTGAGCTCGATAATTTCGCCATTTTTCTCACGCAATTGCCCACCGTTTTCCATATAAAATTGTACCAACTCAGAAAGCGTAGCAAATTTTTCACCACCATAAAGATCGTAAAAATCTCCCGTATTTTGTATTTTAATATGAGTCACTTCACCATTTCGTCTGAGAAAAAGATCAAAATATTTAATATGTTACATATTGATACATTTATATAATTTGTAAAATTGTACAGCTAATTTGTATGTCTACACGATAGAAATAAGCTTTTCTTATATTTACCTGACAGATAATGTAAAATCACCAGGATTTGAAGAACTTGGTCGTGCTAAAAATGAACTATCATATCCCCTTTCCATTAATAGACGTTCTGCTTCTAAACCTGTGATATTGGGGTGAAACCATCTGTAATTCAAATATTAATATTATTTGCATTAGTATTTTTTTTTTTTTTATTTATATTATACATGATAATTTTTCTAATTAATTGCTCAATTGTCTTTATATATTTAGCACTTCTTTTTTTAGATCTCTTTACAACTTTGTAAAATTATTAATACACTTTTTATGTTTGAAATTATCACAAAATAGTCTACTCGCAAACATACAAGAAAATCTTATATTCCTCAATTAGTGACAAAGGTGGACAAAGAACAATTATAAATGCCTGAATAATTGAAGACGGTATGTCAGTTGTAAACCAATTAGAGCAAGCAGAAACAGCATCATACCAAAAATGGTAACAAGCACACAAATGCCGCTCTCTGTACAACCACGATTTATTCGCGAGTGCACTCATTCGTTCGTACGTGAAACACTCCTTCTTCTTGTAATTAATATAATGTAGATACGAATATATACGAACGAGCGCGAGCTCGTTAAAAATTGCGAGACGTTTAAAATCCGTCGAAGAGCTAGATAAGCAGATAAGTTTATAATTTTCGCGCATATCAAAAATCTGCGAACGAAACGCGCGCGATAAAACAGAACTATATACGACTATTTTATTCGATGGAGCAAAGTAATTTCTCGGAAGAAGAATATCCTTAAAGTCAATAAGGAAAACGAGAGACAACGTGAATCATCGCGATCATCTCTCGCGCGATCATTAAATTAGCACTCGTCTCGATTTGCAAGTGGAAAGATACCTCACCTGCGAGATGCCATGTCGCGGTTGTGTGTTCGAGCAGCTTTTACAATCACAACTTAACGATTAATGATTCATAACGACCCTTTTGGAATGCACGCGAATTCAATCGCACGACACTCTCCGAGCGGGATTGGATGTCAGGCTGAGAATAGTGCCACCATCGTTGTCATCTTTGACATATCTAGCAATATCCAGCTGTATTCGGTGCACGCGAAAACAAAAAAAAAAGGCGACCATCACACTCGAAAGATGCGAGGCAAAGTCATAGACATGTAAAATAGATAGACAGGACGAGTGTTGTCCTCAGAGATACTTTTTCCCGCGCATGCGCACAGTGTTGTTCTCGGGGACGCTTTCTCGCGCATGCGCGTTAAACATGGCCTTAAGATACGTGTCAAATTGATAAGAAAAAGGGTACTGTTAAGCCCTCTGCTCAGGTAATGTTAAGAATAATCAAAAATGTTCTACAAATTAATGAATCACAAATAAATAATAAAAAATTAATAAAAGACGATTATAATTAGCTTAAAAAATTTCTGGCATTAAACATATTATTGTAAGTAATGTACGTACACAAATATGTACTACATACGCCGTCGCTGGATTTCTCTACCAATGCGCTGCGCATGCGCGAGAAAGCGTCCCCGAGAACAACACTGCATGCGCATTGAACGTAGCCTCATTGAAATACCAAATTCGTGAGAGAAAGGAAAAATTTTTTAAAGAGACAAGTTCTTCAAAAAATCTAGAAAACAACCTCTCAAAAAATTCCTACAAAAGCAAGCTCTGGGAGCTTTCTAGCAACATTTTTTAAAGAGACAAGTTCTTCAAAAAAAATCTAGAAAACAACCTCTCAAAAAATTCCTACAAAAGCAAGCTCTGGGAGCTTTCTAGCAAGAAACACATATAAACACAATATCATATGATTAGCTGTCAAATATAAAAATTTTAGGGTCTTTAAAAAATCTCTATTTAATAGCCAATTGCGTCACATTATATCTATCTATGTTTTCTTGCTGGAAAGCTCCCTCTCAAAAAATTTTCGAGCTACACGAGTTTCCGATAGGCTCAACCATCTTCAATAGTATTTTATCGATGCTTTTACTGTAATGAAATTGATATATACATATATTATTGCGCGCGTGTGTCGCTGGTTTACTAGTGCCACGTTGGCAATCGAGTTTCTAGCGCTGCATAATTATCGCCAAGAGAACTTGTAAATTGCGTCAGTTTTTGTACCGGTGTCTTCAGACAATAACGGACATTGAAAATGTGAAAAAATGTCGACGTGAAAATAGTGTCCAGGTGCAAAGCGGTTCGCGCGGACGGTGCGCTCCAAGGTGGGGCGAGGGCAGGTTCGAGTGAATTGTCGGCTCTTCCTCGAATTACAATTTTACATTGGCCAGCGACGATCGTATACGTATAATCGAATGCTAAGCTAGCGCATCGCTACCGATATAGCGTCGTATGGTCGGTGGCTCAGTTTAATGGCAGCGTGAGAAATTAGTGCGATCACACGGTTATAATTGGGAGTTCGATATATACCAAATCAGATAGTAATGTCGTCAGATATGAACCTGTTCGATTTGCTAGAAGACACGTTTCTTAAAGGGGACGTTAAGGATGAGCTATTCGTTGATAATTATGGCGACGATGTCATCACGGTGAGTCTCAAGTCTCGTTTATTTTTCGCGATCTCATCAAGCTTGTAACGCACGCGGTTTTTGCTTTAATCATCGTCTAAAACAAATTGATATTCTTCGTGATGTTTTGCATCCACACATATTTATTTAATGTAGAAATTTACTGAACATTATTTATCGACTCATTTAATTTTGGAAATATCTAAATAATATTTAAAAACAATGAAAAATATTTTCTTGTGAAAAATACTTAAAATTTAAAATTTTTAGTTTTTTGTAACATCTGTTGTCTTTTTATTTTTTTCACGCTTTCGAAGAAAGCGATTTATTTAATCTTATGATTGTGTGTATTAATTTATGTGAAATATGCTTTTTGTATAAATGATAAAATTAAATTTGATATGTATTTATATTTATATTGTTAATTTATCTCATCTCGATTGAATGATGCTAATAATTATTTATCTCACAGAGAAAAATAATAGCTGGAAAATTTATTGTCGAAAAATTATAATGAGATATTTTGTTATATTCTATTTGTTTTCCAATTTCCTTAAAAGTTTTAAATATGAGGATTTATTTAAATATGATTTTAAATGAATTGAAATGTAACTGGAATCAATTTTCGCGTGAATTCACCGATTAAATTGATTATCGCTTGTTCGAATTATTTTTTATGTGTGAAACAAAAAGTTATTTATTATTATTATTAGTACAAATCCTATTAAAACGTACATATGTTTGAGCTCTCGTGCATATTCGATTAACTATTCATTTAAGAAACAAATGATACAGTTATATCGATTAGCGAAAACCGATGAATTTTAGCATTGATTATTTCATAATCAATCAACGATTATTGAAACTGCGTTTAAAATCGCAATTTTATTAACTTTTGTAACGACAATCTTGTTCGTTATTAAAAATTACATGTACGTTTCATTAATAAATCCGGTTATATTGCAAAACTGTGTTTAATCTACATTAACATATGGTAGAGATAACCCGCACGTGCTCTTGTATTAAGTACGCCCCAAAGTATGCATAGATCACACGAGAATAGGAATTCCCAATTTACATCGCTTTTATCGTAATCGTAATTATACAATTATGTAGAATTTATTGTAAAATTCGCGCAAAAAATATTCACGATATCAGTAGGGTAATGATAATATGTATATATTAATATAAAAAATTATTTCATAAAAATTATATGCGTTTTACATATATAAATAAATAAATGTCGCAAAGACAGATGTGTCTTCCAAAACTAGTTTGATTAGAGCCGATTTTTTAATTAACATATGGCGCTAACCATCCACGTGCTCGCGCATACAGCCTCGAGTCTGCCGGTGAAACGAAAATATATTTTGTACGATACCATATTATCTGTTTATACCGGCGACTTGTAAAATACTAGAAGATTTAAAATAAGTTCTCTTCATTTAGTGTATTTAAAAAACAAAAGCTTGTAAGATGCTAGAACATATGACAAATGCATTCTGATACATATCTTAAAATTTGGCAGTACATAATATAGCTATCATTTTTATATAAACAAAATCTTTGTTGTCATCTATCTGTTAAAATTTTTCTTAACATTTTTTCATATATACATATATTGTTTCATGTTAATATAATTAATTATTTATATTACAAATTATTAATAACTTTTTTTTTCAAACATATATGTATATTATTAACACTTTTTTTAGTATTGTAATGCATTTAATACATTTACACAATTTAAAGATATCTTACATCTTTTCCCAAACTTACGATCACGTGCGGTTTACACGGCGAATGACCTTCGAACGGATACCGTTAGATTACGGAACTCTTCGTTGCCTGTCTTAATTCTACATCGCATATCAATACACATTTATATATATTTTTTTACATGATATTATACATGTATATGTGTATATATTGTATCAATATGTTATATATATAATATTGAAAAGAGAGAAAGAGAGTTAATAGTAAAATTATTTTATTATTATTAAAATAATAAAATTATTACGTTATAATAAGAGAAAAAGAAAAAATACTTTGCTTTTCTTATTATTATTCTTCTTCTGATAAGCCTGTCATTATTTTATTCCCATCAGGATAATGATATGTATATGATAATACATGTTTAGGTGGTAGATTAAATGTTTTGAGTACGAAAGCCCTTTGCATATCACTTTCTTATTTCTTAATTTATCTTAATTTTACATTCTTATTCCTTAATTGTTTAAATAACTTGTTAGGTTTCTACATTTTTCGAACTTTACGTATATTAATGAAATATTACGTATATCGATATAAAAAAATTATACATGTACAAAAGAAAAAAAGAGTGACAAGCACATGATTATTACAGGCGGAGGAATGTCCGACGAATCCCGACGACTTATTTGCCTCGATCTTGAAGATGGAGGATGATTCGCAACTCGATTTCAACTTGATCGGCAAGGATCTGGAAACAGTCCCGTCCTCTTCGTCGGACAGTGGACTTTCCAGTATATTGAGTCTTCCCTACGAACAGCAATTGAGTCCGTTTTTGTCGAGGACGGATAATAATGCGGAGGAGCAGATCGAGATCAGCAATTCCGATTTGAGCAGTCCACAAGACTATGTAGATTTCGAACCTGCAGCTAGTCCGTCTCTGGGCAGTATGGACAGCCCCGTCAGATCTGTCATGAGTTCTAATATTGGTTCACCAGCCACTGACGTGGTCGAAGAGATGGACTATGAACAAACTCTGGTTGCTGTTGTAACGCCAAACAATACTATGTCAAACACAAACACTACTATTGCCACAGAGCAATCGATTTTTGACATTGGTAAGATTCTATTATATCAAACAAAATATTTTTTTAATAATATATGCTAATATAATATTTTTTTCTCTCTTTAATATACTTATAAGGAAAGCTCAATAATGTAACAGGCAAAAAAAAATAAGACAAATCTTTTTGCATGTTACAGACCCAGCACCTAAACAAGAAATTCGTATTACGCCACAGGAAAATACTATGAATGTTCGCAATTTGGCATGTAATGGAAAGCAGAATATTCGACAATTGATCCGCGTCACTCCTGTGGGTAATGGCTCTGGTAATCCACGGTCTATTTTATTGCCAGTGAGTCTGAAAGACATGAAGGAAGTTCGAACTATTAAAATCATGACAGCCACTCAAGCGAAAAATCTGAAAGGCTTTAAAATCAATCAAGCAAACATTATCAATAAACCTGTTCAGGTGGGCAATATATACGAAATATATTTAAAAAGATCTTCAATAATCTCTTAAACTTATTTATCCATATATATCCATGTTACATAATCATAATGTATTTATCAGCTCTTTTTATACATTTGTTAAAACATATAATTATATCAATGTTATATTCAGTAATGTATGTAAATACTGTTTTGAGTAACTTTTTTGTGTCGCAATTAAATTAGATGACTATTAAGCAAGAGGATTCCAGCAGTGATAAAAGTTCCAACTCGAGTGACGAGGTGCCGTCGGAAACGGATTCACCTTATCCGCGGCTCAAGTTAAACTCCGAAGAGAAGCGACTATTGCAAAAAGAGGGCATCACATTGCCAAGTCATTATCCATTGACCAAGCATGAAGAGCGTGAATTAAAGAGAATCAGACGTAAAATTCGTAACAAGATATCCGCGCAAGATTCTCGTAAGAGAAAAAAGGAATACGTGGATGGCTTGGAGGATCGTGTGAAACAGTGCACGGAGGAAAATATAAGTTTGCTGAAGCGGATCAAGGTCTTACAGTCGCAAAATCAAAGTCTGGCCGGTCAATTAAAGAGACTACAAACGCTTATACAAAAAGGCAACAAGAGCGCCCAACCAGCAACTTGTCTAATGGTCTTGCTGCTTTCGTTAGCTCTCGTCGCTTTACCGAACTTGCGACCACACTCCAACAATAATAATAACGATCTAACTCAAAAGCAGGAGCAATCAGAGAAAGCATCATTGGCGGGTAAGTTCTATTACTTTTTTTATATTTTTCATAAAATGTATCATCTATCTCTCTTAACTCTATATTTTGCTACTAGTAATTCAAACTTTGTAGATGGTTACATTAATAATAACACATATTTTGATAGTATCAAAGATCATCTTGGGATGTTCAATTCTATGAAATTAAAAATGAAGAAATATAATATTTTTTAAAAATATTTTGCTTTCTTTTTTAATGTTCATCTTTCTATTTGTTCTAAACAACACATAATATATTCAAATATAGTATAGAATATAAATGGTACAATGGTTAGATACAAGAGTCTCAATAGAAATTTGAAAGTAATAACATTTGTAAATATTTTTTTGTGAATAACATTCACAATTTTTGAATGTTTGTTCTTGATATCATATCATTATTTCAATAATCACGAAACACAGACTAAATGTCAACAATGATATCAGTAAAATTACAGACATTGATAAAAATATTTACATAATGACAGATTAATGTACTCTTCCAGTTTGGGATTTTTAGCATTAAAAAAACTAAAATTATTAAAATTTGTTTAAAGAGATTGCAAACAAAGTAAAATTTTCATTTATTTATATAATTATTTGTATAAAGATATGGATTTATTTACTTAAATAAGGATATAGATTGTGGCAATATAATAATATTGTTAATTATTATTTGAAAAAAATGCCTACTCTTATTTATAGCCTGCATATCGATTTCTTATCAAGTTTTTTCGAACTTATTTCGTAGTATTGAGCAGCACACGACAAATTCCATAAATTTTGATGAATCAATGTTCTCCAATTTCGTCATAATTGCATATTGCAAGAAATAGCAGTCATGAAATTTTTACATGTTGTCTAAACTCGTTAAGAAAGCAATAAACAAGTTTTTTGACAGCTTTGAAGATATTTCATTATTTTTTATTTATGATTATTTTATCTTTTGTACAATTTATGAAAAGTCGCTTGATTTTTTTCTAAGTTTAAACACTATATATATATATAT